AATCATCATTGCAGTAGAACCAAGGAAGCTCTAAAGCACATACTATCTATTTAGTGAAATGCCAATCCCAGCAGAATGTAGGACTTAAAAGGTCGATACACTTATTTTAACTCATTGCAAGCTCTTTGCAACCTAGTGGTATAGCATAGGAGTGCAAATCTAGAGGCATGGGGTTAGATTTTCCTTTAAACGCTTTGATATTTTACCCCACCTTTCCTTACATTCAACAGCTATTCTTTGAAAAATTGCATTCATGAAAACTCAACAATTTTTCATGTAATGAAATATCTATACAAAATGTATTTATTCCTCAATTTTTTACAACAGTTCCTAATGACGAACAAGAATCATCAAGAATGCAACTCAAAGGTGATGATAACCAAAGTGACTACTTTGCTGATGCTGAAACTTCTTCTTGTGGTTCCCTTGAATTTAATGGTGACTGGTCTGATTTTGACGAGGGGAAAGGTAAGTGAGATTTCTGTTTCTGGATTAATAATATACATAAAAAAATTTCTCAGTTCTGATTGGTTAAGATGAATGCAGTTCAGTTAATTCAGTGCAGAAGCCTGTCAAGGTCAATGTCAAGGTCAATGTCACTTGCAGGGTTTGAATAAATTATTTTTGCACGTGGTGCGCTTGCTTTTCTTTTGCGTAGTTATGAAAAGCTACCTCGTATTTTCTCATGTATATTATTAATAGATAATCACATGATTTTCTCGTGCAATTTGGAATAAATAAGCACTTGTAAATTGCATGAGCCCGTAGGGCTCATGCAAATTTGTTAGTTTTTGAAAAACTTTACTCGTGCTTATTCCAAATTGCACTCGAAATCATGTGATTACCTATACAAAGTGCTTTCATTGAACTGCATTTGTAACCCTACACAATACACTAACAGTTAACTTTATTATATTCGTAGGGGCTTGCCCAAAAGAGGAAGACTGTGAGAAAGCAGCAATTGAAATTGGCAATGATGATTGTACATCATTGCGTCATCATCTCCTTCTCCAAAAGGAACCTCTCAGGATTCCCAAAGAAAATGCAGCCACCAAGGAATACTTTAAGGTTGAAACTCAGTTGGGTAATGGTCAGAACAAGAATGAGAATCCTAGCATCTGTGAGGAGTTCTCTGTGGTGAACAGAGCTTGCAGAAAGTTGCCTCTACTGCATAGCTTCTTTCAATGGCTGTCCAGAAGAGAAGGTACTTTATCTGCAAAGCAACAGGAGAATTGTTCCCATCAAGCTGAAGAAATGGGATCAGTGAGCCAGAAGAAGGGAACTAACAAGAAAGATGGCAATGATCATGGGCCAAAATGTGCAACAGAATCCTCACGTCAGGAGAAAACGACCAAGTCAAAAAGTAATATTCCAGATCATTTTATACTTTATAAGAAATTTAAAGTCAACGAATGGATTATAATTATGATGATGATAACGATAACTACAAGGACAAGGATGATGATGATGATGATATTGACAGTAAGTGTGACGTGGGTGTGACAATGAATATAATGCTAATGAGAAAAATAACGTTTGAGGTAATTTCAGGTGATAAGTTGTGATTTGTCTCAGGGTTGTTCATCTGCTTGAAATACTTCTGTTTTTTTTTTTGTTTTTTTTTTTTTTGATATAACGTGCCGATATTACGACTCTTTGTTGACAGAGGAATGGTAAATGCCATAAAGGTGTTTGTCTCTTATAACAGTTTTTGACCTAGTATTTCAATAACTCTTAACTCTTTCTCCATGACAGAACAACGACAACGCGGCCATTGGAGGTTTGAGACAGCTACTCGTATGAGATACATTCTGTTATCTGCTGCTTTGGTGACAGTATTAGCAGGACTCAAGCTTGGAGGTACGAGTGTCCTCAAGCTTCATAAACTTTGGGTTTTAGATAGCTGTGTAGCGCTTGCCCTCATGATTCAAACATTCTTCAAGAATACGAAGGGCGATTTTTGTGTGGTTTGAAACATGATGACACTCTTTCCTTGATGAATAATTGTTACCATCCCATAATGAATTCATTTACGTTTGTATCAAAGACATGTCCAATACTCCTATGACTTTGCAAGTTTCTATAGTTACTGTAACATTTCCATTACACTGTACGTATTGTGGCAAGTGCTTAGGCAATAACTTGGAAGCGATCAAGGTGATAGGAAATTTCTGTTCTCTGAGATACAACCAAGTTTCAATTTCGCTAATATTTTACCTTATTCGTTTCCCAATAGAAAGCCAAATTCTTCACTGGGCTGTTGGTAATGGATACACTCAGTTTTCCAAACTTCTACTGAAGTATGGGCCTAATGTAGATGCTCCTAATTTCCGCATGGAAAGTCCTCTTCATGTAGCTGCAAAATTTGGTTTCGTTGATCTCGCCGATGTTTTGACCAAACTAGGAAGTAACGTCAACGCCAAGACTTACCAACAACAGACACCTCTCCACTTGGCTGTATGGAATGGTCACCAACAAATTGCAGCAATGCTATTACAACGTGGAGGCGATGCCCAAAGTGGAGATGTGTTTGGACGTACTCCAGTTCATCTGGCCGTGGTACAAAGACGAGAACGAATGCTTGAAATGTTAATCCAACATGGMAGTGCTTTGAAGGCTAGAGACAATTTTGGACGGACTCCCCTTCATTTAGCTTCTGTTAAAGGAAATGAGCGATTGGTGAAACTCTTAATCCGACATGGGTGCGAAATAAGTGCTCGAGATAACTCACAGAAAACTGCGCTTCATTTGGCTGCAGAGAGTGGACAGGATACTATTGTACACTCCTTGATAATGCGTGGAGCTGATATCCAGGCTACAGAGCTCTTTGGACAGACGCCTCTCCATTTGGCTGCACAGACTGGGCGCACAAACGTTGTAAAATTACTTCTAAAACATGGAAGCATTATTGGCGCAGTAAATGTGTTTAAGCAGACACCTCTTCACTTAGCTGCAGAGAGTGGAGAAAACGGATACAAAGACATTTTAAAGGAGTTGATACAACATGGCAGTTATGTCAATGCTGTGAATATATTTGGACAAACTGCTCTTCATTTGGCTGCTCGAAAAGGACATAAAAACATTGTAGAGGTCCTTGTTCAACATAAAAGCAACGTATTGGCTTTAGATGACGCACGCGACACTGCTTTGGATATCGCTGGTGAAAGTGGCCATCAAGAGATTGTGGAATTGCTCACAGAACATCCACACATTGTAACTCTTAGAAAGTACTTCGTTAGTACACGTCTGCTTGTGGCTGAAGCCGGAGGAGGAAATGGAAGCCAGCAAAGTCTGGAAATATCTAACACTGTCTTGAAATCTATCCACTGTAACAGGAGTAACTTAAAGGCTGAGGAGGAAGTCGATCAAATTATTCTTCATTTCTCCTCAAGGCATGGTAAAAGTCGCTCTTTGGGATCTTTGACGCGAGTTCAACGTCCTGGTTACATGGAGGATATTCTTGAACATACCAGGATGGAGATTGGACAACGTCCTCTCCAAGTGGTTACATCGAGGAATAGAAGCAAAGAGTTTGATGAAAACAAGCTTGGAAATGCTATCAGTGCCTCTAGTTTCTCGCCCTCTTTCCAAGCAGTAATGCCGTTAGATACTATTTCAAGTTCCTGTAAATGCAGTTGTGTTTGTGCACCTCATAAGTATCAAAAATATTCTTGCTTGGAGTTTATTTCATGGCAGTTTTGTTTCGTCACATGGAAACAGAGAAGAGGTTTAAAAACAGAGGAATCGAATCTGAGAATGATATCATCAAACATCCCCATCTGTCTGAGGAAACAAGTGCGCGCGAGTGAGAAGACACTTCAAAGAGTGCGCAACTGCCGCAAACCAGACATAGATGAAGATGCTTGTAAAGTTATAAGCAGAAGGCGAAGATATATCGAACAATGTGGGCTCGATGGCTCGCAACCAGACGGAACATCCCTGAACAATTTACCACGGACGTCACTCAGTACCCAATACTTCAGCAATTGGAAGAGGTTCATACCTTGTGAGGGAGCCTCTTTAGGACCTAACCTGGGTATTAACTGTGCGGTCAATCACCAAATGAAAGACAGTTGGTATTCAGATGCGCAAGTCTTCAAAAATTACTCAGCCGAAAATAAAGAAATACACCCATGTAGAAACATCGGAGATATACAACCAGGCAGAGGAGCCTGTAAGGGAAACGGCTGTGAAGAAGTCGAAACGAGACAAAATTATTTTTCCGAGAGAAGGAAGATGCTACAGCAAGTGCTCCACTACCGCAAACCAGACATAGATGAAGATGCTGATAACACATTGAAAAGGGGGCGAAGTTATCTCGAACATTTTGAACCATATATCTTCAATCTGAGCTTCCGTGACCTCCGCCGAGGCCGCATATACCATGTTTTCTTTCTTTCGGGTGATGTGAGTAGAAGGCTAGAAAGTACAAGGGAAGACCTTGCCAAACAGTGTTTCGCGAATTTTACATGTCTGTATCCGGAACAGCCAGGTATTAAACCGCAAACGTTACTCAATACTCAACGTTACAGAAATCGGAATAGGTTCAAAACTGGTATGGGAACCTCTTCAGGACCTAACTTGGGTATATTCTATGCGGTCAAACACCAAACGAAAGACAGTGGGTATTCAGATGGAGAGGTCTTCAAAAAATATTCAGCCGAAAATGAAGAAATACAACCATGTAGAAACAACGAAGATATACATCCATTATACAGAAACAACAGAATAAAGAAAGAACGAGATTGCAAGGGAAACGGCTGTGAAGTGTGGACACTCGCTTTTACGACTGAGAATTCCGGTGAAGGACTACTAAGGAAGAGAAATTTGCAACAGGAAGGACAACGAAGGAAGAGAAATTTGCAACAGGAAGGACTAGTAATGAAGATAATTTTGCAACTAAAGAATGTTCCGATAAGAATCTCTTATATTGCGATTGCGTTATTTATTTCGAGCTTTATTACGTTTGTCGTACTTACTAAATTCGTCAAAGTGCCTGCAAAACCGAGAGCCCTCGTCAAAGTGCTTGCAAAACGGAGAGGCCGCAAGATTTACTTAAAACCCTCAGCATCAGCCAGACCAGCATATGGTAAGACCTTTTTAGACTCAAAGAAGTTGATAACATCAGAAATTCTATTTGGAAAATGACTTTGAATAACCATGAACGTGCATTCAAATGCTTTCCCCCGAGATTAAAAAAAGAGTAGCAAGGTTATGTGCCTTGAGTATTGAACTTTCAGGTCATAGATATACAGCTACTTTAGTTGACCGGGCTGCCGGACACATCCCTTAAGATCTGATTTGAAATTCTTCCCTCTAACTGCTTTGTGAACACGTTCAGAGAATTAGCTGTTGTATCAGAGGAACAATACTGCTACTGATACGTTCTTCTATTTTCATTACCATTTTCAGTATAATGTATAGGTACTGTGGGTAGAGTTGGATATGCACGAGACAGGTCAAATATGAGGGGTCTGGCATTTTTTATCTATGGCGTCTTAAAGCCTAATTTTTCAATTTTAATATTAATTTAAGCATTTAAAATCATATGCATTTAAGCATTTAAAACCGTATGTTTTTTAAATTAATCAAGATCATGCTCAATCTGAATAATCTCTGTATTGATTAAACAGTACAGGTTGGGTCCACTACATATTGCAGATGGGTCCTTTGTATGATACGATGATACGCTGGATGGTAAATGACGAATTCAATTCCAGAACAGGGAAAATTACTCTTGATCATTTATACTTTAATTTCTTTCTCTTTTAGAACTCCCTGATGAGGGATTTGCTATCAATCACTTACGAATTTTATACCTTGCGTTTGTATCATGCAAAGTACCTAACTAAAAAATTCGAGAAGTCGCACTCGCAATGACAACATTTCTAAACCTAGAGTTATAGGAGTTACTGGGAATTTTCCTTCTTTACAGATATCTGGGAATTCGAACCTATTGAACAAGAGTTAAATGTGTGCAAGATACCCGTCAGAGAATGCAAGATCAACGTCAAAAAAATTAAAACATCTGAAAAGAGGTATGGTACCATCAATAAGGGACACTGAAAATGGGGGAGGAGGGGATGGCGGGAGTGGCTGGAGGACTTTGGATGTTTGGTGATGACTTT